TGTTCTTATTGATGAAATATTGGAGAGATCCATATTTTTATTATTTATGATTCAGTGGAGCTTCAAAATGAGGAAAAATTGACATTTTTCATCATTTTATGAGACATGTCTATATTTAGGCATTTGAAGCTATAAATAGAAAACGGAAATCCCTGAAAATAATATGCATGGTAGTTATTGGTGTCCAGTCTCTGACATTAGCACATTGACTTTTACAGTATATTTCATAATTACCCAGCAATGACATCTAAAACTCTGCCCAAATTTCATTTTTCGGATTTTTCTGAAATATGTCTATTTTTAGATACATGTTACTAAAAATAGCATTGAGATCCCACTCCAATTTTTTCATGAGTGGACACTACTAATACTGACGTTTGACGACACGCATATGATTTGAAAAATTTCCGTAGACAATTTTTTTTATTTAGCCTTAAATTTCTCAAAAAATGCCAAATTTTCCATTTTTCACATTTTGAGAAACTATGCTATTTTGCCGAACCATTTTCTAAGATTGGGGTCAATTCTGGAATAACTGGTTATATGCCCTGTATTCTTTAACAGTTGATGTTTTCTTGTGATACAAAGATTTATATTTGAGTTCACTACATAAAGATAAAAATGCATTCATATTTCCTCAATTTTCATGCTTTTGTTTGGTCAAAAATGGCCGAAAATGGTCAAATTCAATGGATCCGTCTCCATGGCAACCGGGTGCACGTGGGAAACTTCTAACGCCATATTTGCTGGTTTTGTACCAAGGTGCACCTGTGGTGCAAATTTCATCAAAATCGGAGACATGTCGTTTCCAAGATTTTTTGGTGCTTACAGAGAATGCATGTTAAGATCCAAGGGCAAATCACTCTAATTGCAGAAAAAATATCTTAAAATCAAAACTCTTAAGTGTGCAGTGTAGAGAGGGTTCTTAAGGAGGCTGTGGGGTCAACAAATTAACCACCAAATTTAACTTATTTTTAGAGATACGGTATCAAGCTGTCAACTAGCATTTAGCAAAGAAAACATTATATATTTTCGTTTTAAAATTTAAGCATTTTTGTATATCTTTATATGGAGCTCTTCTTTTAAAGAATATCAAAATAGTCTGAAAAATGACTGCCTCCCACCAGCCTCTTTAATATCTACCAGCTTCATACATTTTGTACAATGTGTATTTGTGGCTGTAATTGTGCCATAATTGACCTATGGAGAGAACGTCAGTAGGAACATGTACATGTAATTGTGCCTGCTATTTATTCTTCTTGTTAATTTGAATAAATATATTTAAATCTAGTGATAAAATGCATATCTCAAAATATTCCAATACATGTATTCCAATATTGCAAATCATAAAAAAAGGCGTACCAACCATGATAGTATTTTTTTTTCTTTTTTTCTTGAATGCACCTGATAGTAAGACGTTATTAATTCTTTGGGGTATTTATCCTGCATTTTATTTCATAAAATGTGGAAGCTTTGTAAATTTTGTCGAATTTACAATGACAATACATGTAATTGGGTAAGCTTCAAAAACTAAAGAGTCATAGTTTTTCTAATACAAAATTAAAAAAAAAAAATTATTAAGAAATAGATGATAGATAGATGAGACTGATTTTATACAGAAAAATGCATTGTTATAAAATTAAATACTGTACCAGTGCTTTAGAATATTTTACAACATCTATAATTGTATAAAAGCATCGGACAGGTGTTGTGTTCTTGCATCCACTATTAAATTGACAAGTAACTTGTTCATCATCCGCAATCTCATTTTTGAGGCATTGAGTGGTACTGGAACTTTGTGAGATGGAGGAAACTATGCAGTCAATGCAGAAGGAATGTTCGTTGGAGCAAAACCTATTTCGAAATCTTGCCTTGAAAAATATTTTAAAAAATGTAAAATGTAAGTTCCCTATACCAGAATACATGTTTAAAAGAACATAGTGTTGTGGTCACACGTATGATTATTCGCATAAAATAATAGTTTCTAACCTTTGAAACGTTTTTTCTGTCATAAACCTCACACTTGCTGCACTCAACTGGGCTTATTTCTAGCACTACTGCAGTCTGTATAAAAATAGAAATTAAGGTTATGGTGAAAAATAAAACAATTAGCATTGTTATGTCCGAGAGTTTTTCTTTTTTTTATTTTTTGACTAGCTCCCGAAGTTATAGCCTGTTAGATATTTTCAAATGATACCTTATTTCTAAAAGGTATGTCAAATATTTATAAAATAAAAGATACATTTACTTCTACATAACTAGTAATAAAAGCACAGGTTATACTTACTCGGAAACATTTGTCCTTCAGTTTTGCAAAAAATCGATTTATTGATGTTGTTGGTACCATTATTTTGCAAAAGTACCGATGGCATTTAACTGATGCTAAATTCGACGGTCCAACTTCTGTCTTCTGTTCCAAAAGTTTCTCCAAGCAAGAAAAACAATACCCGTGAGCACATTGTTTGAGGACCACGACCGCCTAAAAAGATTTTTTTTTGTTGATAGTTATGTCTATGAAGGATAAGCCATCATTCGGTTAAGTAGACCATTTGCAAGCTATCTGAAGCTGATAAAAATGCAATTTTTAAAATTTTCAGGGACAAAACGTTTGCAAAATATTTTACCGTTTGTTTACAGAATGTTCCTATGCAGACACTAAACCTTGGAAACTTGAAAATTGTCCATATCTGCAAAATTGGAACATGTATTAATATAGAGTACAAAATTAATTACATGCTCATTTAAATAATTGACCAATAAGTAATCCATCCTTCTATGACAGATATCTAAACAGCACACACATATATTTCATGTATGCATTGCTTAAACAACAGTTCCTGTCTACATGAACATGTATGAGCACTGGGCTCACTAAATAATACCGCCGCCTCCAATATTATTATAATGGCAAAGTCCATGTTTGCACTGGGAGATCCGAAATAAGTGTCCGATCAGGAGTAAAAAAGAAAGTGTCGATGGCATTATGTAAACAAGAGTCTGTGAAAGTTTAATTAAATCTTATTCCGTGGTATAAGAGGAGTTGGGATTAATAAGGGTACTGTTTAGTATATGGAATGAATGACAGTATCCATGTTTTGCTATAGGAAAACAAAAGTATCACTATGTGTTCTATGAAAACGTAAAATAGAAGGTGCACTAGGTATATGTAATAAAGATAAACTATGGTATTATGTAATAAGGTCGCTGGGCAAAAATGAAATAATTATTTACTTCATTTAGATAGAGAGAGGCTGGTCGTTCACTAAAGTATCAGTCACATTATCCAGCGATAGGGTGTACGATGAGAAACCGATGCGTTTTTTGGTGAAAATGGCGTTGTTGCCGGCCGGGCACCACTAGTGATCGGACGGTGACTAAGGCCATTTTGCGAATCGGTGGGGTCATCGGTAGGAAATAATTCGTGGTTAATATTCAGCGATGTCTCTAACGATGCCTCACATCGCTCCTCATCGGCAACTCATCATTATCACGTGTTTTAAGGATCAGCCGATGTATGGCCGAGCATCGTCCAATTTCCGTTCAATCTGAGGTCTTCGGGTGGTTGAGTGGTGTTCAGCAGATAACGGCCGATCATCGGTCGATGTTCGACCAAACATTGGCCTGTAGTCGACCGATGTACAAAAGATGTTCACAAATGTAAGAGCGATGTAATATACATCGGTCGATTATCCTGAAACATCGGTTTTTGATTAGCAATGCATCGCTTGGCCTTTGTAAGTCTGGCCGGCAATCACGCCATTTTTATCATAAAAAGAATTGGTTGCCCATCGTATACCCATCGCTGAATAATGTGACTGATACTTTAAGGACTACTAGACCGATGTTGACCGATGTTGGGGCATCGTTAATACCACGGATTACCACTGATTACCACCGGTCTACGGCTACCGGCCGGGAAATGAGACCTAGGCATTACATAATATAACATTTTTTTTTTTCAATATGAGTTAATCTTTGCCCCAATTTATGAAAGTTTGTCAAAAATAATATATTTTTTGCTATCAATATATCGGTGCAATGTCCCACTTTACCTGAAGTTGCACTTTCGCATCTGCCCAAAGTATTCTTTTAGTCAAAACAACATCACGAACATAATTTCATACCATAATTTCTCAAGAATCGTGTTTTGTTTTAGTTTTAATGATAAATAGCACAATTTTTTTTCAGATCTCAGCTATTTCCCTCCTAGATTTACATTTTATTGGTAACCTGAATAATTCTTACTTTGTGTATCGGGAGAATTCTATAAGATGGTGTCATAAGGTTAAAAAATTGTGCAGAACTTTGTAAAGAAATATATAGAACAAAGTCTAAGCACCAAGTAAAACCTACAATTTCTATATATTTTAGGGATTTATTATTTATGTCCTTTTAAATCAAAATCACCTAACAAATATATAACAATCCATTCATCAAATTTTTGTTTTTGTTAAGTACCCTTAAAGGAAACTTACATGTACTTTTAATTTATTGCTACGACAAAAACCAGACGAATTAAATTATGTTTTAATAATAGTGTGAAATTTTTTTTCTGTCGAGAAAAATTTTTTTCAGAAATTTTTTTTGTACTATAATTTCATGAATTTTAGAACTTCACTAAAAATGTTAAAGACACAAATAGAATATGATTTGGATATATCTTAAAACATATTCTTCTGCAAGCTTTCTACTGGTAATTTAAGAATTGAGATCCGTATTATTTTTTGGAAATAAAGTTCGTAGAACATAATTTAAAAGATACAAATATGAATGTTACTTAACGATAAAGTGAGCCGTAAACACCATTTTTATGCAAAAAAAAAAAAAAAAAAAAAAAAAATCTTCTGAATTTAGAAACCTCAATCTTCCGATGAGATCGCCTGGCTGGGGATATGTTCCACTTTAATATTTGAGTAAACGATGTTCTTAATGCAGGATTTATTCACTTTTTAACAAAAAAAAAATCTAAATACGAAGGTTGTCCGGTAAAAGCGTTGACAAGTTGTCTCGCATGAATAAATCTTCATTATGTTAGGAAAATCTCATTACTCTTTAGTACTTGTTTTTTGAATAAACACAGCAACTTTCAAATAGATATATGCAAACATGTAAATGAACAAATTATGAGATTTAATGTTATGTATTGAATCGCCTTACGGTGCACGGATGATGACGTCAAAGTGTCCAAACAGCGTTATGTTTAATCTTTGCACTAAAATAAAGTTGGGTATGTCGTACTTAAATTAAGTATTTTCACTGATGCACATACTTTTGTCTACCTAAACAGTTGAGGAAACAAACTGGCACTGACGTGCTAACTAACTTCTGAAGATTTATTTGTAATTTACGTACAATATTCCCACCCTCGTTCAACTAATTAAAAGACATTCTAATATTGACGGTCAACAGAAACAGCGTTTTCCGTATTTGGTGTTATACTAGTACATAGAGACTCGATCAAGAACAACTTCACTAAGAAAACTCCCATTTCATTTCTATAGTTAAGATCTGTAAATTTTTGTATTCATTTTAAGTCTCTGAAGGTGTTATTACATCAGCTAAATCAAACTGAACTGCTCTCCGGTGCGCCGTAACGTCATCAAACGTTACTATTTTTCGTGTGTTGTGTTTACCATTTTCTCATTTCGAATGCTTAAGAAATTGCCAAAAATGAATTAAATGACTTGAAATTTTTGAATAGTCGACAAAATGATTTGTGAAATCAAGTAAAAATAATATTTTTTCCAAATCGTATCTATTTAAGGTAGGATTCTTCTCTGGTTTCAGACTAGATGAAATATTCAATGTACATGTATATTTGTTTATATCTCTTCTATAATTAGATGAAAGATATTTAAAAGATCATATTTATCTTTTCTCATCACAATTGTTCAACTTTAAATAGATATGGTAAACTGAGTTTAAAATATAGCAGGAACTATATTTTTTGCGGAATGGTGGCGTATGAAAATCTCTTTTGATATTCTCAAAATTATTGAAGAACAGTAAATTTAGTCATAATTTTTAAACAATCAAAGACTTAAAGGATTTTTCAAATGTTATATTCATATCAATGATTGGGGACTAAAGTTTTAAAAGATATAAAATAAATATGATTTTTTTTTAACAAACTACAATTATATTATCTTTAAGAATCTTCCAAACTTAGTAGATTTGAGCCAAAAAGCCATAAAAAGTGTTTTTAACTCTCCGAATAAACGGTCATTTTTTTTTTGTATCACTTTGTGTCTCCATATGCCTTCTTTACCAAACATGAAAATTGGAAAATTTTAAATATAGGACACATATACAAATAATTAATTTATCCTAAACAAGAGGCCCACGGGTCTTATAGGTCACCTGAGTATCATTTAACAACTTTCCATCAATTGAATGTAGTTCGTGTTTTAAACCAAAAGCCATGAAATTCACAATTTTGCAAGATCATGGCACCATTATGTATCATATCTATACTCTTAGCATGCTTAATTTCTTTACTTAATTTATACCCAGAGATAGATAAGAGAAATGAAGAAAAAATGCATTTCCACCTTATAACGTCCAGTTGTGGACCCCAACCCACTGGAACCACAGACCCCGGGCCCACATATTTTAAAATTTTGGAAATTTTATCACAAGTTTTAAATTTTATTTCATCATAAATGGTTGATTAAAACCAAAGAGCAGACTTCAAAGTATTACTTTATTTTCAGACTATGTCCACCTCCATCCCCTGCGGTACCCCTAACCAAGGTGTCCTGAAATGAAACATTTTGGAAGAGGCACATTTCCTCATCATAAATATGTATCTTGATCATTGACATATTACCCAGGAGCAAAGAAAAAGAATTTGCAAAGAAGTAATGCATTTTCACTATATAATCATTGTAACCCCGCCCTACATGTAACACCAGAACGTCTGACCCAGGGTCCATGAAATTAACAAATTGGGAAGAGGCATCCTTCATGATCATAACTATGTACATAGTTCATAGGTTTATTACCCAGGAGCATAGGAGAAGATTTTTAAAGAATTAATGCATTTTCACTATATAATCAATATAAGCCCACCCTAACACCAGAACCCTTGACCCTGGGGCCATGATATTCACAAATTGGGAAGAAACGTCCTTCCTCATCATAATCCTTTACTTGGCTAGTTTATCTAATACTTAAGAGCATAGGAGAAGATTTTTAAAGAATTAATGCATTTTCACTATATATTCAATACAGCCCTACCCTAACACCATAACCCCTGACCCAGGGGCCATGAAATTCATAATTTTGGAAAAGGCATTTTCGCTCATTGTAACTATGTACTTTGTTTCTTTAATACCAAGGAGCAGAGAAGAAGATTTCCAAAGAATTAATTCATTTTAACTATACATGACTGTATAACCAATATAGCCCCACTCCAACATCAGAACCTCTGACCCAAGGGCCATAAAATTCACAATTTGGTAGAGGCAGTCTTATTCAACATAACTTTGTACTTGGTTAGTTTTTTTAATGCCCAAGAGAAGAGAAGAAAATTTTTTTTTTAAAACAAAATGCATTTTCACTATAATAATCTATTTAGCCCCGCCCTAGCACTACAACCCATGACCCTCGGGCCATGAATTTCACAATTTTGGTAGAAGACTCAATGCTAATTACAATCATACCAACATTTTGAAGTCCAGGAGTATAGACGAAGATTTTTAAAGATTGCATTAGTTTTAGTGGTTTTGGCCCCACCCCTCAGGCCCCCCGGGGGGGGGGGGGGCAGAGACCATGAAATTCACATTTTTGTTCCCCTTTACCCACAAGTGTTTGGTTGAAATTGGTTGAGCAGTTGCAGAGAAGAAGCTGAAATTGTTCAAATGTTAACGCACGACGGAAGACGGACGTCGCACGATGCACGACGACGGACAAAAACGGATAGCAATAGGTCACCTGAGTTTTTTTTTCATTCTTAATGTCGAGGTAAAAGATAATGACCTTGACGGTCAAAATTAGTCTTACTGATACCATCACTTAGTGCTATATTGTCCTCTTGATTCTGTGAAAATTTCATCAATTTTTAAAAACATAGTTTTTGTGAGAAGAATCATTCTTTAATTTTTTTTTCCGAATAAATACTCCTTTTTTTTCTAATTAAACATCGTTTCTTGGTCGTGCACCGTTTCCCGTACACATTCAAGCATGATAAAATCTTCCTTTTTGTCTTTATTTCATCAAAAAAATTATGATGTATGTCAAATATGATATATATATAATTGCTAGAAATTTCGGCTTAGTGCTCCAATTGTTTTCGAAAAAAAAAAACTGCATTGTCCACGAATTTACCGGACAACCCTCGTATACGTACATGTATGTAATATCTCACCGGTAAGTCAATTAAGTCTTGCCTCTCGTGCATTTCCGAACACTTTCGTACACTACATTCAGCTGGCGTTTGCTTCTCATTTAAATCTTGAACACATTTCTGACAAAGCAAATGCCCACATCTTCCTTCATAGATAGCCTGTTTTAAAAAATATATCTTTTATTTAAGTGTACAACAACCAGTACATCATTCTAAAAAATGTCCATAGATCAGAAGGATCACCTTTAACACCTTGCTTGGTATTACTATTCTAATTTTGGAGGAATTGTGCATGACATTTTTTTTGTAACTTCCATGAATTTTATAATCATGCATATTTTGATAAATTTCGAGTCTCAAAGGTCATAAAGGAATCAATGTTTTATTCCAATCCATCTAAATAATATAAAACGACCCCCTAGCTCACCTAAGAAAGCCTTTTATAACAAAAGTTAAAGTTATGAAATGAACCATTGTATAAAGAGGGTGTTTATATAATATGCACAAAAACTCTTACCTGAAACTCTTAAAGAAGATCTCTAACCTGGTCATTATCACTTAAAAACATCTCTGTATCTGTGCCAACTTAGTACATGTACATGTACTAGAGGCTTGGTATTATGATTTATGAATCTAAATTCTATAAGAAATTTCTCTTTTATACTTGGAATTTAAGTAGGGTGTGACAGTCTGGCTTAATATAATAAGCGTCTTTCAAAAGATGCTCTAGATTCTTATTGGGTGCTAGCTCATCTATATTCGTAACACCTCAAACGAGTAGAATTCCATAGCGCGGAAGCCCATTTAGGACCTGTCAAAAATATTTTTGAATTTGATTTAACGAATTGCCAAATTTGAAATAACGAATTTAACTCTTTATATCATTTTCTTTGAATTCATTATAATGAATTTAATATGTTATAACAAATTTGTTGAATTCGTTATGACGAATTCAAAAATTTGTTAATACGTATTAAACTCGTTTCAACAAATTCTGAAATTTGTCATAACAAATTGAATTCGTTTCAACGGATTCGTTAATTTATTAATAATAAATTAAATTCGTTGAAACGAATTCGACAATTCGTAATATCGGTTCATATTTAGGCCTGATTGTTGAATTTGTATAAACGAATTTAATTTGTTATAAGAAATTGTAGAATTTGTTTAAACGAATTTAATTTGTGATAACAAATTTAAGAGATTGTTGTTTTGATTTTAACCTGTTACAGTGGCTGGAACGTTATTGTTGACAAACCAATCGTGTAGAATCGTTCGTGCATCGTGCGTGATCGTTCGTGTAACGTGCGAGATCGTGCGTGTAACAGACGCAATCGTTTGCGATTTTAATCGTACGTGAACGTGAGTTTAGAAACGTGTAAATTTCGTTTTGTAAGTTTTTATCGGAATGTTATCTGTGAAACAAGTATTTCATTTATATTTTATTTTTTAATCCAGATAAAAGGAATGAAGCGCAGTTTACAAAATTGAATGTAGAACGAACTAACTATGGCTTGTAAATAAGCAATATAGTAAGTCGTACAATATTATGTTCTCGTCAAATAGCGTGACTTATTGTGATAAACCGTACTAAGATGTTTTACTATATTTTTCTGAAGATCATTCTTGTTTGCTGCTAATTGTGGTAAGATATTTTTTTTAATTTTCAAATAATTAAAAAGAAATATTTTTTACAATTAAATAAATATTTTTCAAAGCGTACATAAATGTTTAGTCGGCGAATGTACATGCACGTCACGCACATGATTTTCGGGGTTTTGTTTAACAGTGTTTATCTCTGTAGCTTACTTTTAATTAATTTTAAAAGTAAAACAATAATTTGCAATGTCGTTTTTCATGTTTTAGAGATTCATAAACATTTTGAGAATTTCTAGAATTTGTTATAATAACGGTTTCAACAAATTTGTGATAACAGATTAAAATCGTTATAACAAATTTAGAGAAATAGTTTAAACGAATCAAATTCGTTTTACAAATTCGACAAATCGTTATATCGAATTCAAAAATATTATTTTATAGGTCCTTCATGGGCTTCCGTAGCATGGTGTCTGTTCGAAGTTTTTCGTATCATTTCATACTCTGTACAAGTAGGGAATATGAAACACGAAATTGTGGAGTGTTGAATTTTTTTCCCTGCATTTGTCTATTTAGTAAACATAAAAATGAGTCAGAGTATATATTTCAAAGTAGTTTTTAAACTTTTATGTAGGTTACATAGAAGCAATGAATACTCCTTCGTAGTAACGCCTTTTAGGATTAAGGGGTGGCGGTTTAGAAATGAGAGAGAGAGATAAAGAGGAGAGAAACTACATAAACTATCCCATGTCCAGTTACTTAACTTAGCATCTATCAAGAGGGGATCTAATGCCACAAACACTTTCTAGAATACCTTCAAAGGTAAACATCTTAATAACTCTAAAATATTACGAAGTTAACTTTGCAAAATTACAGAAAGTAAAAGTAAGTAAAAATAAAGAACGAGGCTGTGTTTTGTAAGAGGGGTCACTGCAATTCATGAATTTCCATTGTTATTCAAAGTTATTCCGATCTTTAAAGCTGGAATACATGGTGAGCGCACTCTTGCCCAAATTTCTTAAAAGATCAGAAGGTGTAGAACTGTTGGAAATACAACATATTTATAGAAAATTTTGGGCAAGCCTGCGCTAGGGGTACAAAACGCCGACCGTTTTCTTCGCTATTTACGGGTATTTACATGTCATTGACCTCATTGTGACCTGTTTAGTATTCCAATATATCACGTGATTTGTAGACTCAGGTAACTTTGTGAATAGAAAAAAAAATCAATAAATCACGTGGCTGTAGCTCCGATTGATGAAATTGCATCGAAAAGCGACCAACTTATACCGTTATATGTACATTTTCAAATAATCAACATCGAATTCTTTTTCGGCTTAGTATTTTTTTTTAGGGTAATTAGACAAAATGTAATGATATTTTATTTATTGTAGTCCTTGGATTTAGGTGGCATGTTTGGAGGGTCAAAGAATTTCAAAGAGATTTAGTCCCAATCGTTGCAATACCATCATTCCTCAAAGTGTTTTTACTGCAAAAAGATATATGCACACAGAGTATGGTTTAACCCTGAAATGCTTGAGATATTTAATAAATTCGATACGGCACTAATTTTTTTTTGAAAATACAAAAGAAGTTTTTTCTTCAATGGTATTTTATTTCGTTTTTATTTACAAACTTGTAGGCTTCCTTTAATTGTCAGCGATCTTAAGTGTTAAATTTTCACCTAGAAACGACTAAAATTGAGGGAAAACCTGGATTTGGGGAAGGAATAAATTCCCGCGCAATTTCCCCCAACACGCCCCCCCCCCCCCCCCCCCCCCCAAAAAAAAAAACCTGGCGTAAAGCTTAAGAAGTTATTTGTATTTACTTTTCTGTATATTGTGTAGTCATTTAACTGGCTAGTTATACATGTTTTTCAATCGATCGATAAAATACCCCGCCTACTCCTAATATTAATGTGACACAATTAATACCCAACTCGGACAAGCGCAACATTCCGGAATTAACATCCACTAGAGGGCTTTTTTAATTACCTTAAATAAAACTAAAGCGCCGTTTTCAATGAAAATTTTTTTCAAGTAATATACCAAACTGATAACAAAATATCGGTTAGGTGAAAAATTATTAAGATTTGAGTAAATTAGATAAAGTTTGAGGGGTCCAAAAAAGGGGCTACGACACTATGCTTAAGTGGAAACATTCTGTACACAGCTTTTCATCCACTTTTGAATGAGAAATACATAAGAAGGAAATTCGGGCAAATGTCAGGGAGTGTAATATGAAACCAATGACAACATTTCATACGACAAAGATGGGACTCACGTTAGTCATTAAATTGTTGTCAACAACAATCTTAAATTGGTAATGTTGCTAATAATTTCTTAACCAGTGAGAATCAAGGGCACTGTTTTATTGACGTTGATTAAGTAGCGTCAAGTAATGCCAGGCCTTACTGAAAGTCCAATGATAAAAAAAAAATCGTACTATCATGTATGCATTTCAAAGAAAGGTTTGACAAAATATTTCATTAGAAAATACTTTTTGATATAACTTTATTTTTACCAGTTTAAAATTTTGATCTTGGCTCTACCCTAGCTCGATCATCAATTGCATTTACTTGTAATGTTTGCAATTATCCTATAACTAGTATACCTTTTATATGTTTTTTCGAGAAAATATTTTTTTAATTTTTTTTTCATATTATTATTGTCATGCTATTTCTATCTTTCTAATATGTTCTATCTTTCTATAAAAATTAACTGAAAGTCTACATTTTCTGTGTTGATCATCATCCGAATAAATTTGATTCTGACCAACCAAATGAGGCTTGTTTTTCCATTTTACTTATAGTGCTCCTGTTGGTTTTTTTTTTCTTAAAGAAAAATTGATTTTTTTTTTTACCGAAGGTGAAGATTTTATACCAGGTAAGTTAAACTGTAACGATTAAAATTTGAATCAAATGTTAGTAATGATGCTTTTACATAAGCTTCAACCTCTCTAGCACTTACGTTTTCTTTTTAAATTCTTAATTACATCCTCTTTGAAGAGAGCGCAGACTTAAACCCCCTTTACACAAGGAGGCTTTTGACACGTTTGGTTAAAATTGGCAGGGTTGTTCTTGAGAAATCAAAAATGTGAAAAGTTAACAAGACAGACGTAAGCTGGACACTTTTCGATCAGAAACGTTCATTTGAGGTTTTGGTTCGGGAGAGCTAAAAAGATAAAATGAATGGATGTTCGCATAATTTCAAGAGAGAGAGAGAGAGAGAGAGAGAGAGAGAGAGAGAGAGAGAGAGAGAGAGAGAGAGAGAGAGAGAGAGAATTTTATCAGTAAATTGTGTCTTTATTTCTAGTTATATTTGCCCAAAAGACAACGCACACAATGGTTCCTAACATATGCTGTGTTAAAGACAGAAACACGTCAAAACACGTGAAGAGTAATTATAATTATATCAACAATATAGATATTACAGGAATGAAGTACAAAGAACTTGGATAGCATTTATAGTTTTGAATACAATAAAAAAATATATAAATAAATTGAAATAATTCTTTAGGTATTTCTTACTATGATAAATAAAATGCTTTGATATTATAACATTGCCTACCTTAGAATTGAAGCAGGATGTGCAAATGTTCTATATAAAACAAAGAAACAAAGATAAAATAAAAGACACACATAACAATAACATATATATGATATATAAACCTCTTATCTTCTATAATATACAATGAGGCACTGAAGTATTGCTTAATGACTCACATTCTGTGATTAAAGATACGACCTCTGTACAAAGTAGGGATCTTGAAGTGTTTTACAGTACCGATCAGACCCAACCTGACACAAAGCAGTCCCAGAGCAGTCCCGGGGACTGCTTTCTGGGACTGCTGAAGCAGTCCCGCAGCGGTCCCAGAGCAGTCCCACAGCGGTCCCAGAGCAGTCACACAGCAGTCCCAGAGCAGTCCCAGCAGTCCCAGCGGTCCCAGAAAGCAGTCCCAGTGGGCGGGGTTTATTAATTTAAATGGGCGGGGCTAACTCAGAAATGAGATTTCCAATAAACAATGGAACTATAAAAGGAAGCTGAATTTTTTTTTGAGCAGTATGCCAGGTGTCCTTACAATGCGAAGGTCGTTTACATGTAGGAGCAGTACCCGCATAGATTTGAAACAATTTGAAATAATATTTGTTGAAGGAAGAAAGCTTCCACACCTACATTAATGAATTACGGTACACTGAACATGAATATTTAATCACAATTATCTTGGGGTTTTTTATGATTGATACTGGCTCCTATATTTATTTTCTATACAGAAAATTAAAATTGAATTAATTATATTTCACCAGATTTAGTTTTAAATAGATCTAATCATAATAGATCATGGCCGATTTCATTACTATCGGGATACTCTAAAGGCATTTTTTTTTAAAGTATTAGAGCTTTTGAAAAATTCGTTGCTTATTTTGCCAAGTAATATTTTTAAGTATTGATCATTCTTTACTGACATGTTAATTTAAAAATTATTGTTTGATTTGTAAATTGTATAAGTGACCAGTATAAAATCCTAAGATTATGTTCAACATTAATTAATCTTGAAAGAAATTTATACACATTTCATTTCTCTTTTTTTTGCATTACTATTTTTACATAGATTGAAATTAGGGTCATTGTTAATTGAGCAGCATGTTCAATGACGTGTAACACTGGTACGCGTGCCCAAATAACATGCATGATTGATTTTCTGCCCAAAGGCGATTGAAACTGCAGGTGTTTATACCATTTTATTCATACACATTATCGGCCAGCTGGTAAACAAAAGCAAAACAAAAAAGAAATAAATCACAATTACTGGTATTTTCAACTGTTTATCTACTAGTATTTATTTTTAAATTTACTCTTTTAAGGTCAAGATCTAGTAAATGAAAGGTGCCTACAGATTTATCAAACTTGAGAAATAAATTCCTTTATTGATGCTTTACAACTTTAGCTTGGTCAAATAAGGTGTTTCGGGGCATAATTTGTCAGTAAAAAAGATGAAAAACCATTTTTTAAACTGTCATTTCCAATGAAAAATTAAGAAAATCAGTCATGAATATGGGAGTTTTTTTCGTATTCGGCAACGGAAATGTATCCAGATTGCCTACATTCTCTCAGAAAATGGTAATTAGTATGTCCGTGGCCTCTTCTATAAATCAATATCAAATTTAATATAGGTATCCGCTTTACTTTTCATATGATTTCAAATTGATTGACATGAAAATACCCTATTTTGTACATAATTCTGCTAAAGCCGTAAAGTACGGGAAAAGAAAAATGAAATTGATTATGACGTCATAATGAATCTAGCACCAAAAATTAGTCTCAAGTTATTTACTAGATCTTGACCTTAATAACATATTTATAGATTAAAAACTAATTCATCTGTAAATTCCCGTAAAATTTTTTTCATTGCTTATGTTACGGAAGAATGGTGGCATAATTTTATTTCATGTCATAAAATCAATTGTTAAATTTTTATTTGAGAGTTGCCAAATGCAAATTTTGAGTATTTAATTTTAGATTTGATAATAAAATAAACCTACATGTAGATATTTTTTCTCATGAACCTGAAGTTTATTTTAGAAATAAAAATCTCCTCCTGACTGCCTTATTTAACAACTTCATTTTTAAAAATATTCTATATTACATTTGTGTAAATATACAGTCCCTAAAACTATAAATTAACTATAATACATGTAATCTCAAGTTATTAAAATATTATAAGAAAACATTGCTTTTTAAACAGTTTAAACTCCTCTCTACTGCAAGTAAACAAAACAACAGGGAGCCTGCAAATTCAGAATACACATGGGGGCGGAGCTATCATTTCACTCAGAATCTTTCTCACACAGGATGGAACAAAGCAGTCCCAGAAAGCAGTCCCGGGGGCAGCTGGGACTGCTGGGACTGCTTTTCATAGCAGTCCCAGAGCAGTCCCATAGCGGTCCCAGAGCAGTCCCACAGCGGTCCCAGAGCAGTCCCAAAGCAGTCCCGGGGACTGCTTTCTGGGACTGCTTTGGTGTCAAGTTGGGTCTGATCGGTACTGTAAAACACTTCAAGATCCCTACTTTGTACAGAGGTCGTATCTATAATCACAGAATGTGAGTCATTAAGCAATCCTTCTATTAGGAACACATAGTATGGGTATGAGTTCCGTAAGCACAAGTCGTGTAGATTTTTTTCGGTAATTCCAAATTGAGCAAGCGCATTTGCAATTCTAAATATCAATCCACAGGGCTACTAGTTATATGCAAACGGATGAAAAAAAATATTTCTTTCAAATATGTTGCACTTTTAACAAAAAGATTTTTTTTTAAGAATTCAGCATTAGAATTTCTACTAACAAATCTAACGTGTTTTTCAGGACGACATTTGAATCGGATTGGACTTTAGAATTTGCTGAAGACAAACGTTTCCCTGGGAACCATGGGAACCATCTCAGGATGCTTTATAATCCTGAATTTACTGCGTAAAATAGAAATAAAGCATATTTTTCAACATTTGTCAGCATAACAAAATATACTTGCAACAAATATCTAATGCAATCGACTGATATGCAAGGAAGTTTAATATCCGACGACACAATCACTTGCATTCAAAGTAGGTCAGACGAAAATAATTAGTTAAACTCTGTTGAATGTGTCATCTGATTTTTACATCTTACAACGTTTATATCTAGACCCCTATCTATTTCTAATAATGTTTAGTTCTTACAATAAATTTGGACTATTCTGCATTTCATAAAACTATATTCAATTAAAATCCACTGATGAAATTCCATACAGAATGCATTGAGAGGTGAACTATTTTTTGATGCAGAAGGTTTTCTGAAAGAAAATGATCAATTTTTCTCATTCGATTGATTGAATGATTGATTGTATATTGTTTAACGTCCCTCTCGAAAATTTTTCACTCATATGGAAACGTGGTTTATTCCCCGAATGGCTACTCGAATAAAACAACAAGTAATTATCACACTCAATTAAGAGGCCCTCTAAGGGGTACAGGTAGAGTTACCTGTATGAATAATCTACCAGAATTGAAACAAAATAAAATTGATATTTATTTCTTTTCTTTTTGAAATTTAAGCATTATTTCGAATAAATATTTTGTATACATATTTTTTACATAAATAATTTTACAAGCACAAAACATATTAAAAACTATTAATTATCTTGAAGTTCTATTGATAAGCAGAACTTATTTTCACAATATATATGAAATAACACTGTAACAGTTTTATTTTCACACATATTAAAAAATTATTTAGTCCATCTCAATATATTTCTTCGCAACTAAAGGATAAGTATGCAAGGTGAAGAAGTTCATAAACTTTTTCTGTATTTAATGATGAATTAATAGAATGTTCTGATAATTAAAAATGATAAATAAATAAAATAAAATAAACATAACTTTATGAAACACTTTATTTATCATACATAATTATAAGAAAAAAAACATTTGTGTTAAAAGAATTTGAAAATGTAGCACAAAATGGGAATAATAATTTGTAAGTTCATCGATATTAATAGATTTTAATATACAACATGTGCTGTATTTTTGCACTATGTTATGATAATTAAAAATGAAAGATGAATAAAATAAATTAAACAAAACTTTATAGAAACACTTTATTTATCATACATAAATATCTATATTATTTTAAGAAAAAAAAACCCCACTTGTGTTAATTTATCTTAAAGAGTTTGAAAATGTAGCACAAAAAGGGGATAATAATTTGTAAGTTCTCAATCAATACTATTAATAGTTTGGGGAAATAAATTAAATTAAAGGTACGGTAAAAATATCATTTTTCTTAAATCTTTATTTTATCTACTTATATTTATTTATTTTTTATTCAGTATATTTCGGAAAATAGAAAACCCTCTGAATTAAAATAAAATGGAATGAATGTATCTGATTTAAAAAAAATATTGCTTATCCAGGTAAACACAGGTAAGTCTACCTGTACCCCTTAGAGGGCCCCTTAATTGAGTGTGATAATTACTTGTTGTTTTATTCTAGTAGCCATTCAGGGAACACACCGGAAACGTCATCGTATGCCGATGAAGGGCTTCAAATTTTGACCTTTACTCGGCACTCAGGGCCATTGAGCAGTGAGGGATCCGATCTTTATCGCGCCAACGCCTCGGTTTTTAAGGTCTCATCAGAAGGGGTCGACCCGCAACTTTCACTTTAAAGTGCCGAGCGCATGGCGAAGGAACGGTTGCTACCCATTTTATCGACCGGGTAAGTCGCAGCCGAGATACGAACTCATGACCTCCCGATCACGGAACAAGCGCTCTACCGACTGAGCTACCGTGAACGGTTTCTCATTCGAAATATTTATAGTAATTTAAAATTTGGATTCCTATTATACATGCAGCCTGCACACTAAATTATTTTAAGCAGTAATATGTTTTATGCTGGTTCTAGATAATAAATTTAATTACATGTAACCGTCTGAATTTTATCAATGGACAAAAATAACAAATATAATATATTGTGAATGTCCTGGGGAGAAAATAGACCATTAAGTCTAAAAATGAGCACAATTTTAGTTATAAATCTATCTAAATATTATACCATGAACCACCGAT